GGAACCGGTCTGTATGTGGGATCCGAACCCTCGGGCGGAAGCGCCGCCGCACTTCCCAAGCGGCGCACTATCCAGTGCGCCACCGGGCTGGCCCCAGGGACCCATTCTTAAGTTAGTGATTAAATGGATCATTTTACAACAGTGTTATGGAGGGTCTAGTAGAGGTAAATTCAGTGTGTGTTTTGGTGAAGGGAAAGAAGGGAATGAGGTATAGAAGACATTCTTTGTAGCAGGAACCATTGGGGAAGGCTATGGAGGGGAGAAAATTATGGCCAGTAACCCATGAGGAAGATGCCACAGGAAAGAGAGAATTGCAAGACTCTTCTGCAAAAGGCTGCTGAGAGGGTGGTTAGCAGAGGCAGTCCTGGCCCTCAGCACAACTGAATGGCTGCTCACAAGGAGCTTGGGTTTTTGTGGAGGAACATCTGGGATCATGGTCTTCAGCTAGTGCTAGGCTTTAGCTAAGACCACTGTGTCCGAGATCTGCCTATGTGTTTCTTTTCTGGCATGTTTGTTTTGGAGACTCATTTACAGAAGCAACAGTGTTCCTGCTGCTGCTAGAAGTGACTCGGCACACTGAAACTATATTTTATACCGTCCAAATCAATGCCATGAAACCGTGCTCACCACTCTTTGTGGTCTGTGGATCACCCACCCTTTGTTTCCCACCATGGGGCCATTTTAGTCTTTTTCATTTAATTTGTTTTGGCTTCGTCCTCTTTAGGCAAAATGATCTTAATATCTGACTTTTTTTTTTTAACCACTTGGAGTAGGTCAGCTTTCTACTGCTTAGAAATCATCATAGAAAACATCGGTTTCCTAAAAAAACTGCCCTATCCATGTCATCATCTTACTGCATCGCCATTATTGCTCATTAAAATCTTACCCACCCTTCAAGAGCCTGATTAGCTGCTGATTTCTTTATGAAGCCTCCCCTAATCATTCCAGCTTAAAGAGATTTCTTCTCTCCTTATAATTTTGTGTTACATACTAACAGTGGATCTAATGCTTGGTTGATTATTAGTGTTACCTGGAGGGCATTTTTAAATAAAATTTTTATTCTAGAACAGTTTTATATTTAAAGAATCATTGTGAAGATACATAGAATTCCTATATACCCCACACCCAATTTCCCCTGTCTTTAACATCTTATGTTAGTATAGCACATTTGTCAAAATGAATGAACTGATATTGATACATTATTATTAACTAAAGTCCGTACTTTATTTTGTTTTTCTCAGTTTTCCGCTAATGTTCTTTTTCTGTTCCAGGATCCCATGCAAGATATCACATAACATTTAGTCACCATGTCTCCTTAGGATCCATTATCTGTAATAGTTTCTTAGACTTACTTTTTTTTTTTTTTTTTTTGTCTTTTTCGTGACCGGTAAGGGGATCGCAACCCTTGGCTTGGTGTAGCCCGCACCGCGCTCAGCCAGTGAGCGCACCGGCCATTCCTATATAGGATCCGAACCCTCGGCCGGGAGTGACGCTGCGCTCCCAGTGCTGCATTCTCCCAAGTGCGCCACGGGGCCAGCCCAGACTTTCTTATTTTTGATGACCTTGAGAGTTTTGAGAATTACTTGTCAGGAATTTTGTAGAATGTCCCTCAATTGGGATTGGCCTTATGTTTCTCTCATGAGTAGACTGGGATAATGCGTTTTGGGGAGGAAGATCACAGAGGTAAGGTGTCATTCTCATTATATCATATCAAGGACACATGCTATCGATATGACTTATCAATGCTGGTATTAAGCTAGATCACCTGGCTTGAGATGTTTGTCAGATTTCTCCGCTGATAAGTTACTCTTTTTCTTTCTCCATTTCCATACTATACTATTTAGAAGAAAGTTATTATGTGCAGCCCACACTTATAGAGCTGGGGGAGGGAGGTAGTTATGCCCCCTCTCTGTAAGAGCAGATTATCTGCATAAATTATCTGGAATTCTTTTTCATGGGAAATGTTTTTATTCTCTTCCATTTGTTTATTCAATCATTTGTTTACATCAGCATGGACACATGGATATTTATTTTATACTTTGGGTTATAGTCCAATACTATATTTACTTTGTTACTCAAATTGTTCCAGCTTTGGCTATTGGGAGCTCTTCCAGTTGGTTTCTGTGTCTCTTTGACATGTCCCCATCATTTGTTTTTTGTGGGAGTAGACTTTCTCAGTGTCTGGTATTAGAAGGTATTCCAGGCTCATCTTGTATATTCCCTGTTCCAGTCCTAGAATCAGCCATTTTTCAAGGAATCCTGATTCCTTTTATTGGAGAATGATGTTAGAAATGAAGATCTGGGAGCTAGGTTTGCTCATTGCTACCGTGATGTCATTGCTTCTAGGCTCTTGATAGAGCAAGGAGAAAGTACACACAGGTTGGGAGTGTGTATTAACCTGTTTATATACAGATATCCATCTGTAACTATCTGTATATCTATTAAGCTAAACATGAGTTAATAGTGGTATCTCCAAATCTAATACGTCATCACATGGATCATTCTGGGGAAATCAGGATAAATATTGAACTCATATATTTTGAATGGCAAACACATTAAAATTATTGAATGTTTTTCTTAGTTTATACTGGAATCAATGTTAAAATTATGAAAACATCAGTTGACATCATAAGTATGTTTTACTTTGCCACAATTCACCATTTGTGTAATTACTTATTCTAGTAAAACTTTGTCACTTGACTAATTTTGCTAATTTTAATTCCATAAATGTAAGATCTAATAGAGTTTGAAAATTTTTATATTAGGTGATTATTGGATATACCACTCAGCTCCTAAAATCTATGACTCAAAGTGCTAAATCTAGAAATAAACACTGCAAGAACACAAAATTAACTGTGAAAATTGTATTCATTCATGTTGGTGGTATCTTTCTCACTCATTTCCTCTCCTTCTCTTTCTGTTTTCTTGCATTATTGGTGGGCTGCAGGCTCCAGTTCCAACACCATCTTCTGAGATGATCCTGATTCCCGGAATGCCCTTGGTGCTGTTCCTGCTGCTGCCTCTCTTGAGTTCTGCAAAAGCTCAGGTTAACCCAGGTAACACAGCCATTACTCAGCTACGTGCTAGAATACCAGGTGACAGTTCAAACACATGGGTGTTTATTTTGGGAAAAGTCCTGACAGTATGGTTCAAAAGCTTTCTTTCTTTCTTTTTTTTTTTTTTAAAGAGAGGTGAAAGAAGCAAACATTTGCTTCTGAATCTTCTAGAAAAAACAGGGGAGAATTTTTAGATACCTTGGAGAACTTCTGCAGATTGGTTTACCAGTTGTTTCTGGCTGGCATAGGCCTGGATTTTACTTGGATGTGCTGTTATGTTTTGTGGACTCTGGTCCTGTGGGATCTCAGGCTGGTTCTCTTTCCTATAGAGTGTGACAATTCTCAAAACAGAAATGTTAGAAGAAGTTTTTAAGCCAAAAAAATTTTTTTTTGTATTCGTGTATTTTCCAACTTTAAATTGAAGTATATGATTGTATCAAATTGAAGTATATGATTGTATCACTTGGCAATTACATTATAATGCTGCTTAACAACCTATCCATAGCTCAGTGCTTTAAAACAATCATTTATTTTGCTCATGAGTTTGTAGGTTGGTGGTTTAGGCTGGGATTGTTTGGACTATTCTCTGGTCTGTCTTGGTTCACTTGCATATCTGGGAGTAAGCTGGCTGTTGGCTCATCTAGGCTTTGGCTCTGATGGCGGGCAACTTGGCTGCACTCTGTTTCATCCTCCAGCACACTAGCCTGGGTAGGCTTTCATGGCAATTGCACAGAAACAAGAGCAGAGGCAGAAATGTGTGAGCATTTTTCAAGCCACTGCTTGAATCATGTTGATCTCATTGGCCAAAGTGAGTCACATGGCCAAGCCCAGAGTCAGAGTGAAACAGAACCAACAAAATTATATAGTGAAAGTCCAGATACAGGAACCAGTAAAGAATTGGAGTCACTTTAAAAATTCTGCCATAAATATAAACTTAGAAAAGTATATACAGATTAAGTGTTCAATTTGGTGAATTTTACAAACTGAACACATCCATCTAAACAGTACTCAGATTAAGAAAGAGAACTTTACCAGCTCTTCAGAAGCCCTCTTCCTGCCCCTTTCCAGTCCCTTCTCTCCAACCCCACCCTAAGGTAATCGTTATCCTGCTTTCTAACATCATAGATTAGTTTTGCCTGTGTCTGTACTTTATATAAATGAAATCATATGATGCATAAGTACTCTTCGTGTCTGGCTTCTTTCACTCAGCATTTTGTTTATGATATTCATCTTATTGTCGCACGCAGTTGTTGACCATTCATTCTCATTGTTACATAATGTTACTTTGTCTGAATATTTTATTTAGCTAGTTTACTGTGAATGCGAATGTGGATAGTTTCCAGTTTGGGCTCATGATTAATAAAGCTCCTGTAATTATTCTAGCATAGAACTTTTGGTAAAGATATATGTATATACTCAGTTCTCTTCAGTGTATACCTGGAAGTGGAATTTCTGGGTTGTATGTAGTATATGATCTACTACTGCATAATGCCAAAAAGTTTTCCAAATTGATTTTGCCAGTTTACCATCTTATAGCAGCATATATGAGTTCTGGTTGCTCTGGGTTGTATTTGGATACTTGAGGGTGCTTTTATTTTGTCCTCTTCATAGTGTAGGGATACATTTGTAAAAATGCTTGCTCTCCTCCCTTCGATGTCTATGGTCTATTCTTTATACCCTCAGTAGGAAATATGATCAAATGCCTTAAAATTTAAGAATTATTTGTTGAATAAATCCAGTGCCTTGTTACTTTCTTGTAATACGCTCAGCTGGTGCATCTCGGATCTGAACTTGAACACTATTCTTTCATTTTTCTGCTCTGTATTTCTCTCACCTATTTGTTGAGGTTTGGTTACCTCCTACTACATTCTCCCTGTTCTGAGCTCCAGGAAGAGTGGTGTGAGTGCATAAAATGGTAGGATGTCGTGGTGCTAGGCACACTCATGGAGACTGATATGCCTTGAGGATATTTAAATGACTAAACCAAGCAAGATGGCCGTCTGTGTTAGAGTACGTGTTGTAGCCCTGGAGCAGGAAATGGGCTGTTTGAAGACAGCAAATAGTCATCTTTAATTTTTTTCCTATTTCTGGTGTCAGGTATTTATTTTGGCTCTTTCCACCAGGGAAAAGGAAATAGAGGTCTTGATTTGCCAAGATCTTTATAGGAACATGGAGCATACTGAGGGACTGATTCTTCTCTGCCATTTCTTTCTGTTTTAACAAGTTAAACCAGAGATAGAATTTGAGGCAGATGAGAAACTTTCATTCATTATTGGTGATAAAAGGTCTAGTAGCAAAGCCTGGGACTCATAAAATCTTATGATATGCACACTGCTGAACATAGAGTAGGTATATAATAAGTGTATGCTGACTTAAGGACGACTCTTCAGGAGCCCTTACTGGTGTCTTCTGAAAGACTGAAGGTAACTGAAAGTACTGAAAGGTGACTGAAGTATTAAAAGACTAAGAAAATTCTTGGCCAGTTAGATTTTTCCCACAGGTTGGCTACATGGTATGACATATGGAACATAAGTCAGGGGAGAACTGGGTTATAAGCAAATCTGATATATAGCCAATTATATTTCAATTGATTATCAAATATAAAATATTGGCCGGCAAATAGTAACTGGGCTAAGCATTAAATTCATTTAATGATATAAAACAAACTCATTAGTTTAAGATCATTGTTAAAGATTTCACAGTGCTGTTGGTTAATTAGGCTTCAGTATTAGCATGACTTAGTTGATAATAGAAATATTAAATATTTAAGAACATCAATCTTGAAAAATCAGCAGACACCAAAAGAGGATGTATAATCTTGTTGATATTTAAAGGATTTCTTTACTATTTGAGACTACAAGTCTCCTACAAATGTCATCCCATGGTGACTGCAGAGTAGTGGTAATGTGACATAGATAGTTGGCCAAGCCATAAAGGCAGTGGAACTGTTGACTCACTGCTCTAAAGCATCTGAGCTTTGGCTGGTGAAGCAAGTGGTGGTAGTGGCATTTCCAGTAATGGCAGTGTTGAAGATGGCATTGCCGGTGGAGACTGTAGTGTAGGCTATTCTGGTCTACATGGAAAATGTTGACATGCAAGTGTGTATACACGGTTCTGAATTGTGGGCAGTGTGCTTAGCTATCTTCCAGGTGCAACAGTACACCAGGAACTGGAACCTAATGATTGTCAATTCAATGGGAAGTCATTGGAAGAATCTGAGACAGTTTTTCATGTCAAAATCATGGCTCGAGAGTGTCATTTAGCTAGTGACATCCACATCTATTATACTGACAATTTCTGAAAATCATTTCTATGAATCAAATCAACAATGGTTTGGATACTATTATAATATTCTGATGAATGTTCAAAGTTCATTTAGAAAAAGATATTTAGCTTATGTATCTTGAGTAACAACTGTAGTTACAATCCTGGCTAGGTTATACATTTGTTGTGAGACATTGAGCAAATTACTGTAGGTCTCTTTGTACTTCCCTAATCTTTTAACCTGTAGTAAGATGAATTTGTATTAGATAATCAATGAGACCCTTTCTGTCACAAAATTGTTACGATTTTATAGTGTGGGAGCTTTACTGTCCATACTGGAAGATTTGGTTGGCTTCGAGCTTGGAAGCATAGCCCTTGAACTTGCATGGCTGTTCTTTGTAAGAAAGATCACTTGTCCCAAAATCTTTGCCACTTCCCAGGCTCAGGGATCTAGACTGAATTTCAGGAGAATCTTGCCTTTGGGGCTAAGCACATAAGAGATGTCTGATATATATATATATATATATATACATATTCTAAAATTTAAACTCTAAATCTCCCCCTAGAGACAGGCTCAGTGCAGAAGCCCTGTTCCAGCCTAACCTGCAGGGTGAGGCCACCTTGTTGATCAAAACCTTTCAATAGTTCCCAATTACCTAGAGGTTTTTCCTTGGGATTGAGTAGTTTCCCTTATAAAGAATATACATATGTGTGTGTTTGTGTGTGTGTGTGTGTGTGTGTGTATATATATATATATATATATATACATATTCTAAAATTTAAACTCTAAATCTCCCCCTAGAGACAGGCTCAGTGCAGAAGCCCTGTTCCAGCCTAACCTGCAGGAACTCCATAGCTCCATAGCTCTATAGCTTCATGAGGCCATGAAAAGGCATTTCAGGAAGAAGAAATATGCTATGGCTGGGAAGAGGGAGAGGTACATGTGGTGCTGCCTAGTGGAGGGTGATGAGCAAGAGACACAGGGGGGCTATGCAGGGAACTCATCTCCCTGTAGGGTCTTTGGGTTAAGTTTGCCTTCAAACTTCAAACTTGGGCTGGGGCTGCTGGACTTGACAGGAGAGCTAATGGTATCTCCATGGGAAAGGGAAGTCTTTAGACTGCACAATCAGGTGTAAGAATACCAAGCTGTAGTAGTTGTTTGACCAGACACCAGGGTCAGGTTTATCCAAGGGGCATAAAACCACTGTTTTAATGGCCAGTGGGGGCCAGAACCTTATGCTTTTCCAGGTAGGAGGAAGAGTAGAAATAACCTGATTGTCCTGAAAACCTAGCCTAGGGGTCTACCCGCCCAGTCAACTATAAAACTGCTGTGGGTAAAGAGCACAGGGGCAGTTGACCTCAGTCTCCTGACTTGGCCTGTGACAATTGCCTGAGCTTGGGAAAGGGAGAAACACACCTTCTCCCCAACAAGAAACCAGGCATTTAAGATCCATGGCACAGCGCCAGGGCAGGGCAGTGCTGGCACTTCCCATTTTCATACCACACTTTCCAATCATAGGAAGCAGGCATCATTCCACCAGTTCAGAGCCTTGGGGTGGGGGTCCTCCTCTGGTAACCAGAATGTTTCCTCATTGGAAAGATTGGCAAAGACATTTGGGGTTTGGGATTCAGAGAGTAGGAGTTATTTTCCTCCTGGCCCCAAGTTTGTTTTAGGTTCGCCATTGTGGTTTTCATTCTTTCCAGCATCAATTCTACACTCCAATAAGTTCTTAGGG